CTAAAAATATCTATAGTTACCTACTGCTGCTACTACCACAATTGCTCAAGCTGCAAATAGTCATTAGTTAAACCAGCCACTTAGTTCAACATATTAATGAGTTAAAGCAGCAGTTCTCAGTCAGCTTTCCCTCGTGCCACCCCACACAGTGCCCTGCTGACATCTGGGCCACGTTCTGTGTCCATTTGCTGCCAGTGCACTGAGGCTCTGTGTGCCTGGGGGTGGATCCTGCTCTCCCTCTCCACGTTCAAAGCCAGCTGAGCTTTCCCTTTCTAATCCCTGCACACCCAGGCTATTCCTTATTTCCCCCAGGTGGCTCAACTGCTGCCTCTGTTTGACTGTCCACACACCAGAAGGGACCATCCTGAGTACCCAGACTGTCATATTGAGATAAAATGACAGCAAGAAAAGGCACCACGGGGAGAAGAACAAGCACACACACAAAACCCCCAGGCAGGGGAGACTTGGACTGGCCAGACCAGCTGAAAGATGGTGAGGTCTCCTCCCAACACTGTGTATTAATGGGAGGGGACCATCAGCAAACACATGCCTTGCACAGGCACCACAGGGAACATTTGGTCCCTCAACAAAAAGGCTCAAGATGAGAAACACCCACGAGGACTTTCTCTGTCAACCCCATCAACACCACCCCGGGCACTCAGCACATCTTCCCAAACCTCCAGTCACAAGGAGGCTCTACCAGAATGGGCATGGAAATGGCACAGCAAGGAGGAGGAGGAGGAGGAGGCAGGTGGGGGAGTCACAAGCAGGAATGTGCACAACACCATTTTTCCATGCATAATTCCTGATTAGGCCCCAGACTTTCAACCTCAATCACATCAGAATTTCTTTTCTGTTCTATTCACTCTCCATAATTGAGGACATTTCTAGACAACAAGGAACTTTTAAATCCCAGTGGTGTACAGCAGGGTAACTGGTTTAACATGCAGACAGAAGAAAACACATTTACATGTTTAAACATGAACTTTAATAAGACTAAAATTTATTTATCTTTTTCCACACTCAAAGGGCTGAGAGAATTGGGACTGCTCAGCTTGGAGAAGGGAATATTTCTCTTGAAGTGACCTGATTGCAGCCCCCCCAGTACCTGAAGGGAGCCTAAAGAAGGAGGGAGAGAGACTATTTAAAAGGGCCTGGAGTGACAGGACAAGGGGGAATGGCTTAAAAATGAGACAGTAGGTTTAGATTGGAAAGAAATCAGGAAGAAATTTTAACAGTGGTGATGCACTGGCACAGGTTGCCCAGAGTAGCTGTGGCTGCCCCATCTCTGGAAGTGTCCAAGGTCAGGTTGGATGGGGCTTGGAGCAACCTGAGCTGGTAGAAGGTGTCCCTGCCCATGGCAGGGGGTGGAACGAGAGGAGCTTAAAGGCCCCTTCCAGCCCAGGCCATTCTGTGATTCTCTGATATTTAGGGGACTTTTCCAGTCTGTTTTCAGACAAAACCTGCTACTGTGCTTTGCAATGTGCAATTTTTTAAGCTCTGCATAATTCCATGCATTTCCTAGGAAAAAAAGAGCTACTGTTTGCATAGGAAGCTAAACCTCACTGCTTTACTGAATTCAGTTCATTTCCACCCCTCAAAATCATGCTGAAAAAACGACCAAAAATTTAAATATATATAATATATTCTGCATCCACCCAGCATAAATAACTGCCCTGCATCACTTTTTCTACCAGTCTCCAGCTCTTTTAGAGCAGTTTCATCCAGCCCGTATGTCCCTCCGTACCACATCAAATTTAATGCTTCTCTTCTGTTGAGGCAGGAGGTGCATTCCCATATAACAGAACAAAATTAGTTGGCTCTGAGGTGATTTGTGCTTGACAAATCTATGTTGACTTTTACTTATCATCTTGTGGCTTCTCAGTGCTAACAAGTAGTTTATTTGTTCCCCAACTTTTCGCATTTGCTGACCTTCTTAGGGGGATTGAGGCAAAACAGCCATTAAATACTCCAGTTATCTTGGAAACATCTGCTCATGGCTTAAAGTCCCCTTTAATCTGTTCAGTTATTCATGATTTTGTAAATTATTTTTTTTGCTGGTAAAGCATTATAGAACTATTCTTTTTTTTTTTGGTCCTTGATGTCTTTTGCTAATTGTATTTTTTTTTCCTACAAGTTTGTCTCTTCCCCACCCTGTTCATGAGATTTCCTCAGTTTCTCCTTTTTTCATACTGTTGCCAGACTAATGGCTTTTGTACATAAGAATATGGGACTTCTTGGGGTGGGAGGGAAATCCCAAACACTTAAAAAAAGACAAAAAACCTGAATCCCTTTTGACCTGAGCCATTAAGTTCTACGCACTCACAAGTGCATATTCAAGTGAATATTTATATTTCTCTCAGACTAAAAATCAAGTAAGTTTTTCCTTGTGTTTACCTCTAGATCTCACCCCTCTCACAGCAGCATTGTTGTTCCTGCTGTCCAGAGCTCCCCACTGTCACCCTTTGTCCCCTCCTCCTTCTTCTGACAGCACAAACCATTAAACACCGGAACATATTTGTATTCAGAACCTGAGAACCACCTCAAACTGTATTTCTGCTGCAGCTTCAACCTTCTGATTGCTAATCCACAACCAGCACCCGCTGTTAGTCCAGCCCTTGACAAACAGCGCAAATGTCACCAATTCCTCCCTTAACGAAGTGGGAAATAACTCTTCCCCCCAGCAGGTTCAGGGAGGTTTGTAATCCAGCACATGTCCAAAGCAGTAACGCTGAAAGCCACTCAGCCTCCAGCAGGAGCTGTTTGGGTAAGCAATTTATCAACCTCAAAACCGTTTCAGAAGTGAATTTGTCCCTTTTATTTAGAATGCAGTGAGCAGAAGCTTTACCTGTTTGCTTTTTTTTTTTACCTTAATGTACTATATCCTGAGAGGAAAGAAAATCTTTTCAAGTAGATATAAAAACATCATTCTAAATTTGTAGCAATGTGTTTGTCTGTTTTCTGGTTTCTTCTGTAAAACAGAGCTCAGCCTCATTACACATTTCTTCCCCAGCACTCCCTGGGATGTTGGAAAATGTAAAAATTATGCTGTTTTCACTGCAGCAGATCACTGGTGCTTAATACCAAGAGCTAAATAATAACAACTGTTTGCACATCAAAGCATTACTATATAGATTTAAATATGCCTGAACCACTCTTTGTGCTTTTTCTCATTATAACTATTATTTTATTTTTTTTATCACAGGCAAAAACCCCTTCTTAAAGCTTACCATTCAATGTTTACATACTATGCAAATGCAGCCCAAGACAATTTATCTCCTTTCAAAGCAATTTCTGCTGGCAGCAGCTTGTCCACTTGCCCCTTCCTCTTCCCTGCAGCTTTCCTCATCTAAATAATTTGTTATTTTACTGCTCTGTGGTAGAAACTGATAAATTCAGTACATTTTTTTGATTTGGTTTGCCAATTTCACCTTTCTCTTTTAACAGCTATTTTCTGGTAATTCTCTTAATAGAGGAATCATAGGCATGAACTCCTCAAGTACAGCCACTGCAGAGTGTCCAAAGCAGAGCTGAGGATGAGGAGGATTCTGAGGAGCCACCAGGAGGGGATGAGGGCACTTGGGCTGATCAGCCTGAGGGAGACTGAGGGGAGACCTTGCAGGCTTCAACATCCCCCGAGGGGAACAGAGGGACAGCTCCCAACTCTGCTCTCAGGGACAGGACCCAGGGGACGGCCTGGAGTTGTGTCAGGAGAAGTTGAGGTTGGATCTCAGGAAAAGCTTCCCCCAGAGGGTGGTTGGCACTGAACAATCTCCCCAGGGCAGTGGGCACAGCACCAAGGCTGCCAGAGCTCAAGGAGTGTTTGGACAACGCTCTCAGCAGGGTGGGATTGTTGGGGTGTCTGTGCAGGGCCAGGAGTCGAACATTAATGATCCTTGAGAGTCCCTTCCAATTCAGGATATTCTGTGATCAAAACAAGTGTTTCTCACTTGAGGGGTAAAATAAGCACCATGTTCTACCAGGCTGGGCATTCTTGCCATATTCTATGGAACAACCTGTAAACTGCTTAACTAAACGGTGGCAGACATTTCCATGAGATGTAATCAAGTCATCAGGGCTTCCCAATACAGACCAGTTTTACAGTGGGCTGTACTCTGAAGAGCTACAAAGCTGTTATCACTCTGCTCTGACCTTTCCTGGATAAGCATTACTCACATACTAATGTTCTTCTGAAGAGAGGAAAGAACATTTTGTGGCTCTTCCCTCACTTTGGAACAACTCTAAATCCAATTTGCTGTGAACCGGGAGAGTTTTGACTACGGCAGCAAATATGGTTTGTGCTGACTGGCAGGACATGCCTTAACCAAAACTCAGAACACTCCACAGACACGCTGTACTTCAGGCCAAGGCACACTTACTAAACTTCCAAGAAACAACACAAATGCTGCAATACTCTTGTACGTATTCTGCAGTTTTCAAAACACACAGTTGTAAAGGAGAAACCCAGCCCATCTCACAGTTGTGAACACTGGCACCAATCAGCTCCATGTGCTGAGAGCACAGACACAGGGGATGAATGTGAATAGTTTATATTGATGGCAGCAGAGTGATGAAATCAGCTTTTTTTGTGACAGGCCTGTAAGGCAAGGAGTGGAGCAGAGTTACAGGGTCTCCATTCATCACCAGGCACACAGCAGTGCTCTCAAACCCATCCTACAGCCTGGCCCGGCCTTTATTGGTGATGCTTAAGCAACAGCCCTGAGAAGGCAGCTACAGGACACCAAGACCCTCAGTAACGTGGGGAGGCAAAGCCAGAAACCCCAACAAAATCCAGCCATCCTGTGCCTTTAGTGCTTCCCTACATTTCACATGCAAACACCACTGTTACTGATATTCCCCTCTGTGCATTGCAGGGCTGGCAAGTTATGATTTCCCAGCTCTGTCCCTTCAGCTGTGCCACAGCTACAGACCACAGGTTGTTTCTCCAATGTATATCCATCATATATAACTTTTTCTCTAGGAAACTTTTCAGTTCTTACCTGATCTGTTTGCCTTCTCGGACATCGTACAAAGAGAAAAAGACATCTGTGTCCTCTCCAATTGTGTTGTAGGTGAAGCTCTTCAGGCTGAGGAAGAAGTGGTGAGGCACTGGCATGCGACAGGCTTCCCCGTGGCGCTGACGGATCGTGTCCACCTGCCAGAACCAGGGCAAATCATCTGTGGTTCTCCACAAACAAAGGACACAGGACCAACTCCATCATTTTAACTGAGACTCCACTCTCCTTTCTCCACCTAAATTTAATCTCAAATATATTCTGCCTCAGATATGTGCTAGATGAAGTTTTCTTCCTCTGTTTTTTCCACTTATAATTTCAATAGTTTGAGAAACCATGATAACCAAGTAGATACGAAATAAATGGTTTATGCATTTGAAATCTGGTTTTATCAAGTAAACCAAGTCAACCCTATTTCTCAGATTTTGGCTTTATTCTGGTAGTGAAAATGAACTATAATAAGATGTGCTAGGGTGGTTCCTGATGATTTCCATTTAAAGTAGATAGACTTCAGTGGAATTTTCATTAAAGCAGATGTCCTTCAAAGCATTTTTAAGGATAACATTTATTCCATTATTTCTTTTTAGCAGCTGCAATTCATTTACAGAGGTAATTTATGTGGCCAGAGGATGAGGGCAGTGACCATGCCCTTGTGCTGGGCACTGGTGAGGTCACACCTCAAATCCTGGGTTCAGTTTTGGGCCCTTCACTTCAAGAAGGACATTGAGGGGCTGGAGGGTGTCCAGGGAAGGGAATGGAGCTGGGGAAGGGTCTGGATCCCAAGTGTGATGAGAAGTGGCTGAGGGAGCTGGGGGGACTCAGCCTGGAGAAAAAGAGGCTCAGGGGGGACCTTCTCACTCTCCACAACTCTGTGACAGGAGGGGGGAGCCAGGTGGGGGGCGGTTTCTTCTCCCAAGGAACAAGGGGGGATCATCAGAAACAAATTTATGCTTTTAGTTTTATACCCCTTTACATCTATTTATGCTGATCTTAATAAACAAGTGGCATGATTATCCTAAGCTCACTAGGCTTGTCTCCTCTGAATGTATAGGCAGGTACACATCAACAAAGAAAACCTCAAAGTTTCCAGACTTCCAACTCAAGATTTGTACTGGTTTAAAAGGAATTTTGTTCTGGATTTTCAATTAAACCCAAGTAAATCCTCATTCTTTTAAGGACAGGCAGCTGTGGAAGCACAGATCTCTGCACAGCTCCAAGGCAGTTCCCAGGACCAGGACTGGATTCCATGACTGCAGAAAGGGGGTGTGAGGCAGAGGCCACCAAGCCACGTGTCAGCAGGGAGAAAGCAGAGTCAGGTGGGCAGAGGCAAGCTTTGGATCTCACTACACAAGATGATCTTTTAACAACGGTCAGAGCCAAAGAAAAAAGACCTAAATGGAATTAGAGAAGGACCTCAGTGACTTAAGTATTTGAGGATCTTCTGAGGAAGTGTTCTGCAGGTAGGGACTCACCCAATAATCTCCATTATACCTTTACATATACTTAAAGACAATAAAAAATTCCAATGTGGGTGGTATTTACCTGTGACGTGCTCTGCTGGACACTGTGTCTACTTGACAAATGCTGTGGAGACACAAAGTAGTACAATTTAAACCTTTTTGAAAGTAAGAAATATTTATATTTGTGTAGCATTAGAAGTAATTGTAAAGTATGACTTTTAAAATTACTACGAACTTTACACAGCCTTTTTTCACAGCGTATCATCCCCAGCTTTCCTAAGGGCTTTTCTCAGTTAAGCCATTTCTTAGCCTAACTACTTCAATTTACAGGGGTGTTTACCTTCACTTTTAAAGGAAATGGCTGTCACAAGCTAGAAAGAATTTCCAACAGTGTAACAGCATTTCTCAAGAGTTCATCACCCTATACTGTATAATCTATGTGTTCTGCTGGTAAACAGGGAGATACCTCACCACTAATCCTCATCTACCACTAGGCTGTCAATGAAAAGTTGCATTTGTTAAAAAAACCCAGACAGCTAGAATGAAAGATGGATTTTAGATTTTGTTTAAATCTTTTGCTCTAATCAGAAGATGAAATCCTGATAAATGGCTGAAGACTCCTCTGCAGTTTCAGCTGACCAACACCTGTAAAGAAGCATCAGTATAATGAGCTACATGTCCAAAGGGGAACTCAGAGGATGATGCTGTATTTGAAGCCTTTTATGCTAGAAGGAGATGTTATAATCAGAAAATGGACTGCAAGACTCACTGAACCCATTTAATCTCCAAAGGCAGATTTAAATACTAATCTAAATTGAAAAGGTTTCAGAGAGCTTTAAAAAACCATATCATTAATGATTCTGCCATGCCCGTTCCCTTCCCATCATCTCAACATTAGCATTTTAAGCTGAAATATCACCATTGACACTACCACACCTTATTAAACATTCTCTTCATTTGCCCCATCTCTCTCCCCTTCTATTACAAACCCAACATCTCATTCTGACCAAACACTGACACTGTGTAGCATAAGGAGCAGATTGGCTGCCAAAAAGGGCCCTGGATCCAACACCAGTGAGGCCACACCTCAAATCCCGGGCTCAGTTTTGGTCCCCTCACCACTAGATTGGATATCAGGGGAAATTTCCCCACAAAGCATTGCCAAGCATTGCAAGAGGCTGCCCAGGGCAGTGGTGGAGTCCCTATCCCTGGAGGGACACAAAGCTGTGTAGACACGGGGACATGGTTTGGTGGCAGTGCCGGGTTCATGGTTGAGCTCAACCATCTTAAAGGTCTCTTCCAACCCAAACAACTCTATGATTCTAAATGGCGTATTTTGACATCTGTTTACATTCACAGTTACAGAAAAGTCCCCTTTCACACTGTCAGTAAAAGAAAAAATGGTCTCCTGCTCCACTGTTTGTCTAACTACTGCATCAGCTTCTGAATGCCAAAAAACCCTCTAAGTTTAGGTGGCTGAGTTGCTTATTGAATCTTCTGTCACCTGCAACCACTCAGAATCAGCTGGCAAAGAAAAGACCAGTTATTTAAGCTGCTCCAGGTATCCTGTCCTGGCTTCTTTTGACTAAAATTCATCTTGAAATCCAAGTAAGAAAGTGGGTGAGAAACTCATTCACCATAAATATGAGAGGTGTCTGAAGAGCTCCAGGTTCCTCAGTGAACACAGCTCCTTACAGAGTGACCACTGAGCTAAATCTGTAACAATAAGTGGCCAAAAACATAATCAGGTTTTATATTTTTCCACAATCAAAAGATTAGATTTCAACTAACTCTCTGCTTTTTTGCTTCAGGACCACACTATCAATATACAATCACTGACTGAGTTTCTGTTACAGCTCAGCAAAGTGCCCAAAGGGAACATGCTCTCTTGGAAGCCAGTTTTGGGTACTTGGATGGGAGGGTGACCGAAAGCAGCCAACATGGATTTACCAAGGGTAAATCATAAAGGATCAAGTGATTCCTCTGGTGTGAAATGACCTGATCAGAAGATGAAGGGAGGACTGATGGCTGTTGTCTATCCCCTGCTCAGCAAAACCCCAACAAACAGTTGGACTGTCAGCTCCAAAAGGTGGTGGCTGATGGTGTGAATTCTTTAGAGGCCTGCCCTGCGACCCCTGCAGCTCATCAGCTCCCAGATGCTCTCAGACTGGGGGCAGCAGACTGACTGCAGGGTCCTACTGAAGCAAGGCAAACTCTGGCAGCAAGGACCTCCAACAATTTACTGCTTCTGTTACCAGGAATGTGCCCAGTGTCACTGGGGTAACATTTTACTCAGCATTCTCTCAACTCCAGCTGAAACATTGCCCTGTGCTCAGCAAGGACAGACAGGGGAGCAGCAGGGAGCTGGAGGGCAGGGTGTGTGAGAAGGATGGAGTGAACAGCAATCTGAGTCTGGAGAAGGGAAGCTCTGTAGGTGACCTGAGGGCAGCTTTGCTGTAACTATGAAGTTACCATCAAGTTGAGACAGGTTCTTTACAGACCTTCACAGCAGCCAAAACACTGTGGTCATCAGCTACAACACAGGATATCCCAACTTTCCAACATGGAAGAAAATAACCCCATCAAGACAGCCAAGCTTTAGAGCAGGGACCCAATCTCTTTCCTCGAAGAATATCGGGATCCAACAGGACAAAGCTCCGAGCAGCCTGGTCTGAATTCAACACTGACTTTGCACTGAGAGCAGGAAGCTGGACTAGATCTCCCCTGAGGTCCCTTCCAACCTGAACAGCCTAACAAGGTGATATAAAAATAGGACTGTTAAGAAATTATCCATCTTCCTTCTAGAAAAAAAAAAAAATCAGTTTTACTTTTATTTTTCCCAAGAGGGAGTTGCCTGGTTAAATTGTGCAAACTCGAACAGATAAGACGTTCATCATATCTTTCCTTATCAAAATGCTTTCTGATGCTTAAACTGATTCCTTGCTATTGTAGCCTCAAACCACTGATTTTTGCCTTATCCATCATTAGGATGAAAAGATTAATAATTCAGCTTTTGACTCCATTATAATAGTCAAATCTTCTCTACAAAACCATCCAAGCTTGCAGTGTCCCAGCCTGTACTTCAGAGAGAACAACCAACTGCAAAAGTTCAGACTCGCATTGACGACTCTCACTTGTATACTACACTTTTTGTATAATTTCTTTAATTTCTCTACATTATTTGGAATTCTGATCCTTTAGTCCCACAAAAGAGTCAAAATTCCAGCTTTGTGCAAGTTACATATTTAGAAAGCAGACTCCTTATTTCAGCATCTAGTCCTTAATTAAACATGAAGCACCACAAAATGGAGGATGACCACAAGAAATTCAGCTGATTCATCCCTCCTCCTATTTAATCAAATTACTGACAACCACTTTTTTTTTTTTTTTTTGAGCATGGGTTTTCTAATTAGCTCTGTGTTTACAGTAATTTCATCTAAAACTAATGACTTTAGGAGAATTCCAGTTAAAACATTTTAAACCTTTATGAAAATTGAAATATGGCATCAGCTGCTTTTCCTCTATCCACTAGACTTATTTTTTTTCTGGAAGTGCATTGTAACTTATAAAAATTGATTATTTTGAAGAAGTTCATGCTCACTATTACTCACCTTCCTGTTGCAAATAATTAATGTGTTTTTTTCCCCAGCATGTTTTACAGGCAGATAACTACTATCTTCTCCTCCTCCAACACCTTTCTTTCAGGTGTTAAGTTTGCTTGCCCTTTGCCTGTATTCTGGAACCTTACCCATCTCTCCAATGATTCTCACTAACATGTCTGATGTGGCTTCTCTAGACATCCCAAGTGAAATGTATATATCCTAAATCCCCCGGAACTGATAATTACTTCATCAAGTGACCACCTGATCAGAATTCAGCAGGGCAAGGGCATGAAATGCCACAGTACTGTACTGCACTGTGTGCCAACCTGTTTCCCTCAGTACAAAGCATTTCTTTAGTTTCTCAATTACTATATAATTTATATAAAACCATTTCTTGATACAATTGACCATATTTGCTTGTTACATTTGAATTTGTGCATTGCCTTTCTAATGTTTCTATTTACCCATCTGTGCTACTCTACTTTTCTACAGTTCTGTTCTTCTATTCTTGCTCTTGGTAATCTCCATTTCCCTTTCACTTTAATGACTGAAGGCAACAAAGAATTCTCAATTTATCCAACTTGGCCTCTTAGTAAGCACCTTTGTACTGAAACAGATATGAATTCTCTTTCCCCACCAAACTTCTTTCTCAGGATATCTTATCTACCAATATGAGTTTCTAGTGTTGTTTTTCATCCTCCCTTTCCTGACAATGCTTGGTAAGTGAATCTCATCACTGCCAAGTCAGTCTCAAACTGCCTTTTATCTTCATATTCTCATCTGACTTCTTCCTGGGGTTTACAACCAAATGTACACAAACCTGTTCTCTGAGAATCTGCTCTGCTAAACAAACAACCACCAAAAAAGAAACACAAAGAGATTTCATGTGCTTTCCTGCACAGTTTGTGTCCAGCTGGTTTCCTTTTCTAGTAAGAGTTCTGAGCAACTGAATTATTGAGTTTTATAACTGTTCCTTCTTACTAATCACATTTTTCATTTGAATAAAAAATAAGCAGTTATGAAGCGATGGCAGCATTAATTTGAAACTATTTACTGAGGAACTTTATTTCTTAGGAACTCTGGTAAACTCAGGGTATTTCTTTCATATAGTTGGAAGAAACAGCCGAGCTGTAGCAGTTACAGAGCCAACAGCTGTGCCTTTCATGCACCTCCCCGAGACACATACCCAAACCAATACATTTATAAAAAACCTATTTAATCGCCAGCTTTGAACATTTCCACTTTTTGAAACAACTTCCACTTTTGACACAACAATTTGTGTCTTGTAACCCTTTCACTAAGAAGTGCCATCCAAGTGTTTCTGACATTCTGCAGCACTCGGTGTTCCTAAATGACACCTTCAGTCTAGCGGCAACTCCAGCACTGAGCTCTGTGGCACAATCCCGAGAACATCTTCTCCCACCATTTCAAAAGTAACATGAAGTTTTAAAGGGTTCTGTCGTATTGGTAAAAATCACAAACACTGTCATAAGAAAAGGGCAATTTTTTTTCCTTCAAGAGCAAAGCAACGACTCCTGACGAACGCAGCACGCTGCTCCAGAACAAGCAACCTGGAGAAACGGGAGGGACAAGGCCTCAAAGAACAACAGTTCTGACAAAGAGGGGAACACAGGATCATCCAGCACTCACACATATGCTCAGCCATGAAACAGGAGAGCTAAAAAACATGCTCACATTTGAAGACTGAAAATTTACCAAGGAGAGCAATGCTAAGTCTAATGAGTCAGTACAAAATGCCTGACAACAAACTGCCACAGAGAGGAGAGTCTGGTGTGTCACCCCCTCCACTGCTCTGCTAACACGAGACTGTTCCCCTTGTTACATTTAACATTCTACAACCCTGCAAACTGGAGAAAGTAATTTGGCTCTCCCAGCTACTCCTGCAAATTTACAATGTAAAACCTCGTTGCTCACTGGAGTATCCTTCAAGTATTTTGCCAGGAGTAAGGAGGATTCTCTCCCTGCGCTTTTGTTATATAACAAAAACAATCCCCAAACCATCTCAAACTATACCCCTTAAACTACCTAAAATTACCAATATTCCCTTCCATCAATTTCTAATGAATTTTGTGTTAAAAAACCAACAGTTTTTCAGCTGCTTTGGTTCCTGAAATCGCCTCCTGACATGATGCAGACACGATCAGACAGCACTGTCTTCTTGAATCTACAAAGTGCAGTAAGAGTGAAGTGTGAAGTGACTGATGGTTGGGTCCTGAGACCAGCCCAGAATGGAGCAGCACAATGTGCTGGGGACATTCTCTTCAGGACTTGAGTGACATAATCAGACTGCTCTGATAATAAAAACTGGTTATTTGCAGTACCCCAAGTATTCAGAGTAAAAAAACGTGCAGAACGAAGAACTGAGTAATAAACCAATCATCTCGCATTCTCCGAGTCCTCACTGGCTGAATTTGGTACCAAGTTATTTCCATGCTGTACTGAGGGAGAACTCTGCTGTGATAGCACCAAACTCTCCTCAAACTACGGCACATGAGGAACAAACATTAAAATCAGCACTGCAGAGTGATGCACTTCCATATTGCTTAAGTAACAATCCATACTTTTTTCCCATGAAATCCACTGTTGAATGGTGCAAATAATCCCAACCAGTAACAGCACCAACCTGCTTAAAAAAGATGCCTTTGTTTTAGGGAGGAGTACATCTTGCATATCAAAAAACTCCACCTAGACATGGACCTATCACTCCCTAATTTTACACAGCCAAAAGTCAGATCCATTTTAAAACAGAAAATTAAAAGTTTACTAGAAGTGAGTGGCACTATAACAGTAATTATGTAGAAAAGCCACTAGTTTCTTTGGCAGACATTAAGCTCAGAAGTTGTATAAAACAACTGCTGAGGGGTTTTGTTTGTGTTGTTTTGGGGCTTTTTTAGATCAAATAGCATCTGAGGAAGGGTTTTCATTCATTGTCCTGAATTTTACATGCTGTTTCTCTATTTACACAGTCAAAACCAAATTATCTGTATTATTCCTATTAACAAAGAAATCAAACACAGTTAAGTTGTAAAATGCATCAGTGACTTTACAGTTCATCAATGGCACAATTCACATTTCCAAAACAACTGTAACTTCACCATGTACTAACAGGACTGTAATAACGACAGAATTTGGAATTTACTCCAATAAAGGAATTAAAGTACCTCACCTGAAAACCCAAATATTCAAATGTACCCCATGGGTTTTCTAAAGGGCACTGCCACACAACAGAGATTTAATATTCAAGGATTAGTTTTGCTTAAATTTAAATATTCACTGATCTCCCTCCCCTTTTCTGTGAGATCAAAAACCTTTGTAACAGGGCAAAGGTGTTTATTATCTCTGCAACTCCTAAAAGTAGACTTTTCACTTAATTCTTCATTCCCAAATCTCCTGAAAGAATCAAACACCAGCTCTCCCATTGGATATACTGGACTCAGAGAAACCTTCACCAGTTTTCACACCATGTTACTTTGTAAATTGGAATATAAATGTATCCAAGCATGACATTTCCAACAGAAAGTTGCTTCATTCTCACTAAATTGAGCCTACCAAAACCACTGACTGTTCTGGTGGTCAGGGTGCAAATGAAGAAGACTTTCAGCTCCAGCACCATTGAAGAAAACATGTAAGAGTAAAGAATAAAAACTTTCCCTCTTTCCCTCCCACAGTCAAAACTCAGAGGCATCTCCCACGGATTTCTTACCATTTTATAAAGATCGGAAACACTGATCTGATCTGAATCCACAACCTCAAAGTCCTTCCGAGGAACTAAATCCAGGCCCAAGTGTCTGCAAAAGAGAAGGGAGGAGCAGAGTGAGTGTCACCCATCAGTGTTCCCTGGGACCTGCTACCTGTGCTTACCCAGAGCAGGGACAGGGAAACATCAGCCTAGTTCAGTCTCACGGCAATTGTGATTTAATAAACAGATAACTCTTCTAAATAAAATTATCAATCAAACCCCACTGTGAACGTGTTCCTTTTTGTTCCCTGCTCTCAGTGGAGCTCCAGCAATTACTGCAGGGTGAGGTGTTTGCCCAGTATGTTGGTGCAGTACCCAAAACAAGGGAATTTCAAACACGGAAAAGCAGCAGGCAAATAAAGCCTGTACTCTGGTTTCTGCTGCAGTATTTGAGTAAGTTCCTTCACCAAATAATGAAAAAGTTCCATTAGCAGCCCTGTTCAAATGTGCAAACACACCCCCAGCCTTGGGAAGCCACTTTGATATTCCTGGTGTTCGTACAACTTAACCCCCAACTTCATCACTGTGTAAACTTTGCATTTTTGCTAAATAATAAATACAATAACAAGGACTTTAATCTGTATTTGTAGCACGCACACAAAAATCTTTTAATTACTCTGAATGGAATATGTTGGCTCCAATCAAATACATAAACTATAAAAAAAGCATCCCAGTGCAAAAAAAAACAACTAGTTGAGGAATCAGCAATAAAGGCAGCAGTTCAGGTCACAGCTGCAGGTGAGCAGCAGACAGAATAATATTTTTCATCCAGACAAATAAATGAAAACCTGATAACAATTAATTAAGAACTGTAGACTGCAGAACATGACATCCTTAAAGGTGACAAAACCCAGGTTTCACTCCACGGATCACCAGGTTCTGAGGCACAAAGAGTTCTGAGCATTACAATAAAAATCTACTTTACACACACACACACACTAGGAGCAAATTAAAGAGACACATGAATTAACCATTTTCCTGCTTTTGTCTTATGTTACTGACTCTTCACTTATGGATATTTTATACTGAAATTCTTAACAGTCTTAGAGAAAAAAATATACAGAAGAGATGTCCTCACGAACCACCTTTGCACTCCTTCTGTCACTAACTACAGAAGAAAAGCAGAAGTCAATTTAATTTTGTAATCAGAGAGGGAAACATTCTGCACAGACTTGTTCCTGATGGCAAATGAAAAATTTTATTGGCACAAACCTCTCTGGTACTGCAGAGTAATTGTGTGGAGCAATAAGCACGAGGCTCCAGGCAACAGAGCGTCTCTCTCTGAGCAGTTGGTTTAAAACAACAGCAAGGCAGAACCAGAGGTTGGTAGGAGGAGCTCCCTTACCTTTGCTCACCACAGCAGCTGAAACATTTTACCCAGAAGTTTCCAAACTCCTCACTTCTTTTTGAAACTTTGTCTAATCCAACTTTCCTCCTTTATTTATACCCCTAAACCATCACATCTCAAAAGTACAGCTCGGCCCTGGTTCACTTGCTGGCAAACAACTGTCAGACACTACTGCACAGTCATCAAAATATCCTACTGACAAACTGCAGTTTCCACGTTCGTAGTTCTTTGCCAAAATCAATTACATTTTCAATGGGAAAAAAAAAAGGGAGGGTTTTCCTTCTTCAGTGCAGTTTCATGTCAAATACTGATTTCCAGATTCTAATGCCCCGTTGTGGTTTTACACCTTCTGCACGTTTTGTTTTGATTAAACCTATCAAACACAACTTATCTGTGGCTCAGGACGAGCATCTGAAAACTGCAGCTGCAAAGAGGAAAATGACTGTATCTATTTACCAAATGAAAAAGAGTAAAATAAGAATGCACTGGGTAACCCTTAAGTGCAGCTGCCATTTGAGTGTACTTATAAAATTGGTGACAGGTAAAAGCAGAGATCACTGCACAGTTTCTTTTAAAAGATGTTAATGCTTATCAAATTCATTCACAGAATTTTTTTTGAATCTGAATATCCAAAAAACCTCCAAAATGCCCTGACATTCACATGTGTACATACACATCCACCCCTAAAGCACGTTGATAAAGGAATTTGTCCTCAACACACAGATATGAAATAATAATTTCCTGCTAACATTCCCAAACCCACTTGTCCCTGCAATACAGTTCCAGGGCAGTTCCAAAGCTCTAAGAAAGTTCTTCAGGAAAAGCTGGTAGAGCCAATCCCAGCCTGCCAGGGTTGTATTTGCATCATTTCAACTCTCTGGAGACCTGAGGTCAAACAGTGGTTGGACTCATTACTCAATACATGACAAACGTATTATCTTCTACTTAATGATGTTCAACACAACTGCAGCAGCATCCCTGTGAAACTTATCTCATATCCTATTTTTAGTCAAATCCCTTAACACCGTGGATTTTCAGCCCAGAAGATTCTCATTCTCTAATTCTATGTTAATCCTGCACAATACTTGCTCCCTGCAAATAAGGGTGTCCCTGCTGTGGTACCAACACGCTGCCATTTACTGTGCAGGTGGAAGTTCAGCTCTGTACACTGAATTTGTATCAATTATGTTTTAGTCTCTGCAGGACTGACAACATAATGCTTGAAACAGCAACGACAGTCAGTGGCCCACTTTCACTCTCTATTATCAAATACTGGGGGCAGCAGCTGCCAAGCAGTATTTCTCTAAAACATAGCATGCATAAAAATTACATAATGTGCTGCTTTGTTTATTTGACAGTTCCTCTCTCCACAATACTTCCTTTTACAAGCAAATTCTTGTGCCCTTTTATTCTGCCTTCGCACTGAACCGCCTTTCAAAAAGATTTCCCAACTATACCTACAAAATATCCCCAAACCCATCATTCACCTCTTGGTAGCACATGCCTGGGATACTTCCACTGACATTTACACATTCTTCCTTTTCTACATAGAAGTCTTTAGAATTTGCCTTTCTGTGGGAGAAAAGTAATTTAAAAAAGTAATTTAGAAATCTACCACCTAAAATTCCTTTCTCTCAAGCGATATGAAAACAAACCAAATGACAAAAGAAACCCAAAACAAAACAAAAAACCAACACCAAATGACAAAAACAAACTAACTGACAAAATTACAGACCTTTTCAATACTGAAAGGTATTGAAAAAAAATCAATCTGGGCTTAATGGCAATTTTGAAGAATGATTCTAATTTATAGTATGTTTGTTTATTTACAATACAAACCCTACAGCATTTAGAATTCATAAAACCACAAGTCCTAACAACTCTTCCTGGAAGAACCTTGCAGAACTATGCCTAAAGACAGAAAAAAAAAAAAAAAAGTCTTTAAGATGAACATCCAGTTTTGAAGAACAGATTGGAAGAGCTCATCACATCTCTGCAGTGTGCATGATCTCATTCCCTTTGCTCCAAAAATGTCCACTTCACCTTGATCTTTCACCACTTTAATTTTCCTTATATTCCTTCTCTCAGTGTACCAAAGCCTTTTATTCATTTTATTTCTCTTAGATAAAAGAGATGACTTCCAGAAACACTGCCAGTGTATTTAGGGGAAAACCACACCAGTTCAACAAACTGAAAATCAACCCCTCACTGGTGGTGACAGTGAGTGTGACTTGCACGTTTACATCACTCCTGCCCAAATAATATAATCGAGTAATGACCAATGTCAGGGTGAAAGAAGCTTTTCACTAACTTAGCAAACATGACATGCTAGATGTGTAAGATTACCTGTTTCCTGAAAGCTGCTTGGTCAGGGGATATCTCTTGAGAGGTGGTTCTACCTCGAATAATTACAGCCCTGCTCCAACTGCAGGTGTTCAACCTCCTCAGTCAACAATAATGCACGTCAACAACAATGTTCTTCATTTATTTGATTTGCAAATCTCCATTGTGACAGAATAAGCAAGGAACATTATTACAATATTGGAGAAAGGTCCGTACTATGTGAACATATATATGAAAATCCTCAGGTTTTTTAGCAGATTGAGACAGGGGGTTATAAGTTTTATGGTAAAACTCAGAGAGGGGAGATAGAAGAAAGTGGAAGAACTCTCCCAGAAATTCTATGGAAAAGAGCAATGTTGCAGATACACCTTCAAATTCCCAGACATTTTAACTTAAATACTGCAGGTGTCTCTGATATCATGTACCTTTCTCTCTAGGGAGTTCAGTACCTGTTCTTTTCCCACACAAGCATCCTGAGCAGATGAATATAATCATGAACACACTTATATTTACTGATTTCACTGATGCTTCTCCAAAACTGTCAACCATTAGATTTAACTTACAGTGGTTAATGATCTTCCTATTTAGTGATTTTACATTAAGAAAGTCTATAGCTGCCTCATAAGACAACCCACCCTCTTCATTGCTGCACTGCTGTCTGCTCAGCCTATTTCTTACAACGTTTTTGCTGCTTCCTGTTGCTGATTTCATCCGTAAACTCCGAGCAAAACCAGGCAGGTGTAATCTTCAAAAACAGTCTCTTGGTTCCCATTTATTCTACTGGGAATGAGAATGGAAAATATCGAACTCTGCACTGCAGAGCAATGATGATGCAACCTATTCATATCCTTCAGAGCTTTCCTTCAACAAGAGAGACATGAAATGTAACCTGGGGGCTCACTAAACCTCAGGTGTGCCTCAGAGTAGATTGAGGAGGTGACTCAGGAACACAGTCCAACAGAGCTTAGTGAAAAATACTGGATTTTCTTCCTTAGTCACCAACCCCTCCCCACTCCCACACGCTCATTAGGGCCAATCCCACTCCTGGTGGAAAAGGAGTCACTGTATGCCTGAGAGTGAGAGTCATACCTGTGTCGTGCACAGCTTACCTGTCTGATACACATCTCAGAACAAACTATGCTGGCCAAGGGCCAGTTTTTGTCTAATGGCATTTTATTACCATTTCTATGTGAATGTGTTGCAGTTGTCTTTGGCTTTAAAAAAAACCCTCCACAAATTCCCCACAGAACTGCCAAAGGAGAGTCTAAACCTCTGAGAAATGTCATTATATAAAAAGTCCAAATATCACACCTCAGCTCCAATGTCCCAGTTAATTGAGAGATTCTCTGCTTCTTGCACCAACCATTAAAATACTTTTTCAGTGGAAAAAAATGTGGGTTTAGTAGCTCTGAACACATCCTCTCTAACATTTCCTAGACTGATACACGGTAAGTAAAGTGACCTAATCCTTTTAAAAGTGCAAAGAGCTTTAGACAAGGCCTACCAGTAAACAGCCCCTTTTACAGCAACAGCAGAACTGTGCAACAAACTCACTGCAAAAACTTATATTCCATTTTCAAACAATCCCATCCATGGAAATAAAACGTGTTGGGGGTTTTTGTTAAGGAAAGGCACTTAAAAGGAATAAGAACAAGCAGGTGGCAGCAGTACTTACTCATTGCCCCAGTCCAGCCTCACCGTGAGGTGCCTCTTGACCTCTCGCACCTGATCCTGCGTCAGGTGCCCCGAGAGCAGCTGCCTGCGCAGGTCGATGAGCTCGTTCATCACATGGCGCAGCTTGTAGAACAGATCCACCTTATGCTTCTGTACAGGCACGTTTGGGGAGCACAGGGGAGCAGGGAGAGAGGAGGAAACAGGCAGGGAGGGAAGTCAGTAAGTTTGGAAAGGGAAGGAGTGTGAGAAAGAACAAAAGAAAGAGAGAGAAGGAGATTAATAGGTTATCACATTTTCACTGAACTGCCCTAAAGGAACATCAAGCCAGTTTTTACATGCTTTAAAATATTTACATCAAAGAGTAGTGTCAACTGGTGCTATTTAAACTGAATAACTTCTTATCCCTAAGGTTTAGGCTCAATCTGCTAAGAGGTCCATTTTCTGATGGAACCTAATGCTGTAAAGAAGAGGATTCATTATACACAGCAGGGATTGCTCATTCCAAACATACAATAAATTCCAAAAGATTTACAGTGATGGAGAGGTGAAAAGGCTTGGTTTCTGTCAGCAGTGAACTGAATAGTTCTGAACAGTCAGCATCAATTAGTCACCCCAACAACAAAAAAAAAAACATTCTTAATATTTTTGATATTCCAATTACTAACATTTACTCAGGTATTTATGTTGAGGAGGGATATGAATATTCATTATCTGCACTCTAAAAGGGACTAAAGCAATTAATGACAAAATCCACCAGTAAAACTACTTTCAAAGAGAAAAATCACGACAGACAATAAAAAAACTCCACACCAGCACCATCAGTAAAGAAAATAAAACAAATTTTTAAAATCAAACAAAACAAAAGAAAACACACAAACACACCAAAAATAAACAACTAACACTGCAATTCTTTCCAAAAGAACTAATATTATTCAATTATGGAAAAAAAACCTTCCCCAAAACCCACCCAACCAAACCCCCCAAAACCAGACAGAAGTGGAAATACTTTTTTTTTCCCCAGCAGAAAATAACTACATGGGAAGTCCACAAAAAGGCAAGTCTGGGGCCAAGAACCAAGGCCATCCCTAAGATGAGGACGTGTGTCCAAACCACTCCACTATCTGCTGGGTCACACCTGTGCTTACACAGTCACGACTCCTCACTGCACAAAACAGCCAATGTGCAATGAATGGGAATCCCAGGAGGAAAAACGAGATCCCCTGTTGCAGCTGGATGTTCTTTAAACAACTGAGCTCCATTCCCACTGCTCTGAAAGGCCTGAAATGTTTGAGTGTCACTTGGGGAAACAAAGACTAGATGGGCTGACACTGAGCCTTCACAAGCTGGCACTGCCTTGCTCACAGCTCTGCTCGTGCAGGAGTGGTTTCTAAAAGCTCTACAAGTAAAGACACCTGCATTTAGCAAGCCTGGGTCTGATGGAGGAACATCCACAAAGAGAAACATAAGTGGTTTCTATTGCAACACATTATTAGAGCAAGTGTTGTTGACTTGTTTTACCAAAAATAGCAAAGATGAGATGAAAAAAGAACTTCCACCTACTTGAGTTTGTTTTCCTGTAAGACCACTAGATTTGCATGACTTAGGAAAACAAACATCAATGCAATCCCTTTTGATAAGCTATTTTTTAATTTCTCTGAACCTGATTACACATCTGTTTTGCTGAAGGAAGTGGATTCATCTGCTGCTCTTATCAAACAATTTTCAGATGAAAAGATGCACCATCTTTCAACTGTGCATCAATACTGGTTTTGGTCCTGCTTGGAAAAAAAGGAAAACAGACACAGGTCCAACAGAAACAGATACATTTCCAGGGCTGAAAAACTTCAGTGACGAAGATTATCATGAATAGCTGAAAAGTATAAAATTACTAGATTCTGTTTTATCCCTCAATGTGGTCAAAAGTAAATGCTATACAAGCTGAAGATGACAGTAGGTATGGGAAAAATCCATTTCTATATGCTATTTATGGGAACAAGAAAAGGTTGTATCTTTTTCTAACACAAGATGAAGAAAAACAAGTTTGGGAATATTAAATACGCAAATTAGGTACACACGAACAATAAAGCATCTGGCAATGAAATTATCATGAGAATCAGCTCAGAAATCATCATATTCAGGTTTCCCAAATAAGTCTGCTAAGAGCCACTTTCTCACTCTTGTAATGCTGGTTCAAGGTTCTCCATGCATTCATGTGCAGACCACTGTGCTGGTTAAATTACTGTATCTTCTACGGCTGTGTTTAAACATTATTTTCACAGAGGTATCAGAAGCACTTACGTTAAATATAAATAAATGAGATTACAGAATGCAAGTATTTCACCTGCTTGAAGCAGAGTGCACAAGGAGTGGCAGACAGAGCTAAACACAGGGTGTCCTTCCAGCAGATACAAGGGCCCTGCACGGAGGGGAGGAAGGGAAAGTGCAAAGCCCAGGAAGCTGTAGCTGTGGTCTCAAGGAAGGAGTTACGAACAATCGAAGATGTAAGATCCATGAAAGTGAAGGAAAACACTTGTGAGAGAGCAAGGAGAGCTAGAACAGAGTTGAAAGTGGCTTAATTCCAGGCTTGCAGGAGGCACAGAGTTTGAAGCAGTCAAAAAAACAGTTTATAACATCCCTCCTCACACTATATGAGTCCAGTGACTAATAAGCTCCATTTAGGTGAGAAGGAAGGAAGGAGATACACATATTTTAATGGCTTTCCTCTGCCTTCTCTCTTTCAAGCCAAAAAAACTCCAACAAACACTTCAAAATTCAACACAAAGCAAAGCTTATTCAGGATTCCCACCCCTGTGAAAAGATTAAAGTCAAACAGATGACGCTGGACAGCATATTTCCAGAAGAAAAGCCCTAATTTTAAGTATTAAAATACTTCAATTTTAATTAGAGTAGCACCATAAACAAACCTGCAACTTTATCATCTTTTCAATAGTTAAATAAAAAATACGCAAGTCGGTCTGATATGTAAGCATTTGTTCTGTTTTACAGCACATTTTCATACCACCTCTAACCTCTCACTTTTCATCTGGCTTTATCACAAACTCCCAAGCAACGAGCACTTTATCAGTCCATCCAGAGCAATCTGCTGTGTGCACTTACAAACATATTTGGCAAATGTTTTGCATCCGGAATATAAAAGCAAGTGTTTGTGCAGAACTTTTATGGCAATAATTAAGATGTGTCACAGACGAAGAACCTGGATGGCCTTAATGAATCGGGGACTCTTCTCACAAGCAGCCCAAGTGCTCTAACATGTGTTACTGCCTTATTTTACCATCCCCAGACATAAAAACCTTTTCTGCATTTCTTTGATCTGTTATAACTAACAAGTCACACTAATCAGTGCTTGATGACCTTCACACGTGCACCTGTGCATCAGAAAGAGGAATTCTAGCATTTTTTTTTCTTTTCATGGCTCCATAACAACTCTGAGGAGTTCAAAAGCCAAAAGGTGGTTTGGTGTGGGCCTTCCCCCTCTGCCAGGCCCCACCAGCCGCTCCCTCCATCCTCCTCTTCAACAGGTCAGGTTGGGGGGTGGGATCAAATTTTTGTGGGTTGCAATGAACACAGGGAGCCCGCTTACCAATGACCACCCTGGCAAAACAGACCTCACTTGGGGGAGTTTATTTATTGCCAATTAAAACAGAATTGGGTGGCGAGAAAATAAAAAACCCCAAACCCTAAAACCCCTCGTCCCCAACCCACCTCTCTTCCCAAGACCAACTTTTTTCCTTTACTTACAACTCCCCCACCCTTCAGGAGAGCAATGGGGGCCGGTCCACAGCCAGCTCCTCCCGGCTCCTCCTTCCTCCTCCCACTTTTCCCTGTTCCACGGGTTCTGCCTATGTGGATCCCAGCATGGATACCTGCTCCGGTGTTCCTGGGGCTGCTTCTCCCCCTCACCCCCCACGGCCTGCGGGGTGTTCGCTGTCCCTGCTCTGCTGGCTCACCCCAAGGCACTCAGGGGTTCGAGGGTGCCCTGAGGGACCGGCTGGAACCGCTCTGTGCCCTCCTGTGGGACCGGCTGGAACCGCTCTGTGCCCTGAGGGACCGGCTGGAACCGCTCTGTGCCCTCCTGTGGGACCGGCTGGAACCGCTCTGTGCCCTCCCGTGGGACCGGCTGGAACCGCTCTGTGCCCTGAGGGACCGGCTGGAACCGCTCTGTGCCCTGTGGGACCGGCTGGAACCGCTCTGTGCCCTGTGGGACCGGCTGGAACCGCTCTGTGCCCTCCTGTGGGACCGGCTGGAACCGCTCCATGCCCTCCTGTGGGACCGGCTGGAACCGCTCTGTGCCCTCAGAGCCCTCAGTGCCCAGCCCGGGCCCAGCCCTGGCACAGGGGGGTTGGAGCACCCCTGAAACTGTTCTGATGCTCATGGTGCCTTTGAAACGCTAAGGCTGCCTTTGCCATTCTCCTCTAAATAAATGCTACGTAACACGAGAATATATGAAAGGCTGGTATATTACAGAAGCCGACCTATTTATATTTGTTTTGTTACCAGGACTTCGTTTAACGCTACTGTAAAGTCAGGATTTTGCCTCCCTCAAGGGCGGTCCCTTAAGACATTTCCTATAAGATTGCCTTAGGCTGTAATAGGGGAGGGGGGCACAAAAAATTATTTTCCTTATAAAAGCAAGTGAGGAGCTTTTCCCAGGTTCCTTGTTACGGATTTTGGTATCTACATTAGATATTAAAGCCTGCAAGCACCATCAGCACATGAAAGGAAATATTAAAGCTAGAAAACACAAAACCCCTGCCTTTCTTCTCAGTTTTGTCTGGATTTTTTAATTAAGCAAATTACTTTATAGTAAAACTGTTGGAATTTATAGATTTGTGCAATATTTATAGTTTAATCTTACTCAAAATCTGTAATATAATTACCATGCAAACCTTAAACACCTGCTATCAAATTAGAGAGTATTCATCAAGTGCCTGTTGACGAATAAAAGTCAGACTATACAGGTCAATACAAGGATATCTCAGGAACAGGGAAAGGAACTGAAGTAAAATCTGTGTGGAAGATAAGCACTGTACACAAGTATCGTGACTGGCACCCAGAAAAAGCCCCTAGAAAAGGCAATTTGGGAACACAACTAATACTTGCACGTATTCTTCTGTTCTCCATGGGTGCCT